CCAGATCGATTTAACTGTCTCTCGCTTGCTTATGTATTTATTCGATCATATTTGAATAATTGGCCACCCGTTAGGGCCACTGCTTAATAAGTGGCTAGCTTGCCTCACGTGATTTATGTCGATGAGAAAGAGAAAAGAAGAAAACGAATTTTTCGTTGAAGAATAGAAAATTATACTAAATAGTTTATAATATCGCGGGTGAAATATATAACAAGCAATCGATATTTCGTATTGTGTAAACTATATTTTTACGTAATCTCTTATTTTCAAGAGATTACTTTCACATTTAAATTATACATAGATGTAAATCTTTAAATGTAATAATATAAGATATAAGATTTTATACTTTTAGAATATTATTACTTTTTTTCAATTATGCATTTGGTTGTTAAATGATTAAATATTGTCTTTTAAAGCATTTAACTATCCTATATATTTCAAAGCTTAAATTTTAGTAATAAACTTGTTTTATATTTCATTGATTTTGACTAATTGCATTTTAGTATATATATTTAAAATTATAGATGAAGAAAATTATAAATATATTACGTTCTATTATAAATAAAAAACACATTTACAAAAGAGAGTTATCACGTACCTATATTAAAACGTATTATATTATATATAGATATAAGCCGCTTATTTTAAAGGTGGCGTAGATTCAGTTTCAAAATCTTGGTAAGATAAATATACCGCAGCAGTTTGCATACTCATCTCATTAAAATTCATGATATTACAAAATTCGACTTGCGCTGCTTCGAAAATAAGCTATACGTATATTATTTTCTCATCTTTGGAGCAAATTTATAAAAAATAACATATAACATAAAAAATATGTCTTATTGGTTAGTAAGGTGGCTTGTTCAAATTTTGAAAAAGTGGGCCAACTTCACAGACGTAAAGTGGCTTGTTATGGTTCGCTACAGTGTAAGTCTATGAATGAATAGGTCGCTACATAAGTCGCTAATAAGTTTATAAATAGATTGCTGCAGTATATAAGTCCATAAATAGGTATAATGAAAGGTTGCTTGTGATGCAAAAAGACTTATTATTTGCCTCAGCGTCATTCTTGTCTTTATCGCTAGGCTATTAGGGGAGGCATACTGCCATTATCTTTATCAATACGACATTATAGCGGCCAAGCCTTTTTGCGATGAGTCGGAGCATGTATTCTCATCAACCGAGACGAGCAAATCACGTGAGTGCATCTGCTGGATAGACGTTAGAAAAGCTGAGAGACAATTTTCTTTCGAGCGCACAAGCTATCGCATTTCGGAATGCCTTGCTGCTTTTTAAATATATGTACATGAAGACGTAATATTTTGTTGTTTCTTTTTAATCAAGTGCCTACCTAATAAATATTTATAAAAAGAGGAAAATTTATCCTATTCGATAAACTAAAAAATATATAAATAACGAAAATTTTTACATTTCTGTTGTCGGAATACGGACAGTTTGGCAATTATGATTCTTATTAGCGATTTTTATTTTCACCTGGACTGTCACGATTTTATTTTTAAAAATATCTCTTTTCTCTGAACTTGAAAATATCTTTTCCCCATCTTTTATATGTATATATATGAAAATGGTTTAAAAAAAGAAAAAATATCAGAAGATTTCTTGTCGTCTACATATTTCATGACACATTTAAACTTCAACCTTTTAAATCCTTTGTATATTATTATCTGCGTTCCTTCTAGCTTTATATTATCCATGTTTCATAATAATTTGTGATTTTATGCTTTTATCATTATCTCTCGGGCTCTCCTTATACTCCTGATACTCGTTCTCTTGGTTTACACCAAGGAATAAATAATTGTTGTGCTACAGTTTCTTTTTTCAGTGGGTTTGTCGCGGGTATGACGCAAACTTGAGATATGGATCAAGGAGCGTAACCAGTATATCCGCTTATGACGGTTTATAAAAATGCATGCGTACCTTGGTGAGTGCATCAAGAGGGAATGCCGAGATACACACACCCCCTCCCCTCCCACTCCCCCCTCGTGTTTGTGTACATATCGACAGCTCGCGGGAGTATATGCTCCTTCAACACACTCAACGCAGATACTCAACTCAGACCGCAAACACTAGAGCGCCACGCTCCGCAAAATAAAATGACGCCGTATATATGTACGACGCCCTCATAACTTGCAAAAAATGCATGGAACACCACGTACGGCGCATAATGCGTTCGATCCAAAAAATCTCTTGGGCGAATGTTCCAATTACTTTCAGGTAGACTGGGATTTTCCGTGTTTTACATAATCATAGCCCAGTATTGGACGCCCATATTTTTTCGACGTGAACGAAACGTCATTTCACAAACCACGGATACGCGCCGGAGCTACGTTGCAGCCAGATTAAATCCTGTCTTTCGCGCAAAAATAAGTTCTTCCCTATAACGAATAAATATACGGATAGTTCGTTCGCTAATTCTATTCGCGTCTTTCTCGGAATATTTTGCAGAGACGAGATTTTCCTACGTGCCCGCATAAACGAGACACCGCGACATTTACTGATGTTTATGAATAATTATTATCGCGCGTAATTAAAAAGCTTTACAAATTACGTAAAAATAAGATAAAATAGGGTATTTAAATTATTTCATCTGAAAATATGAGCTGCATATACTGCAGAAATCTTTTAATTCTGTTAATGATACTGATGAATAATGTATCGCGAAAGAAATTCAGACGTATCCATTTGCGTATTGATTATAGAACGCAGCTTCTGCATTCTTTCATGAGCTTTTGAACTTTTTTAAATTCAAGAAATCTTAGTATAGTTGACATTATATCTATCATGCAATCGCTTTTTAAGAATAACTTCGTATACATAAATTAACGTTTGCCAACGTAAGAAAAAATTTTTTATTTGTTTGAAGTAGCTCGAGAAGAAGATAATATTTACCACGGGGAACAAGTATCTTCTGATTAAAAGTAACAAAATGGCCAATTTTCGAGCAATCAAATAAAGATTTGTTGAAATATAGTTGAAAAATAAAATAAAAACAACTTGTTTATCAAAAATTTAAAAGTTATAAAATATTGTTAACGTTTTGAAACATACTTAGTCTTCTTCAGAACATTACAACAAAACGTCACAAGAAATCTCATTAAAATATCAAATAAAATAATTACATCTTACATTTATTTTATCTTTTAATGCAATTCTAGGTGGTTTTTTGTCATAATGTTCTGACGAAGGCCAAGTGTGGTCCAAATATTAACAGTATTTTTGTAACTTTTAAATAAACAAGTTTGTTTTTATTTTGTTTTTTAACATCCTTATTTGATTGCTCAAAAATTCGCCGTTTGTCTCTTTTATTAACTGTTTGCTTTCATCGAGCGTGACATAATTCCTTTCATCCTTTGATTAAGTTCGCTCCAAAGGTATATTTTAAGATCAGATTGTCAACATGGTTGTAGAAATTTTTTGAAAATCTCAGAACTTTCCCCGAGGCCGTTATGCAAGTATTAATTATATCAATCATAACTTCTAATGACTTACCGTCTCGGTGTTACCGTGCGTTGCCACGAAGTTACTGCCACGCAGAATTGGCTGAATCCCCTGAAAGCACGGAAAAAGTAATACAATTATAGCTGCGATCTGTATATAAGATACGGCATAACTTTTACGCAGTTATTACTTAGCTCGTTAGAAATTAATTCGAAAAATATCTTTGTGTAACAATAATAATAGCTGTACGCTGTCTGTACATCCATAATGTACGCCATAAATGTATATTATTATTCGGTTAATATTAATATTTACGTTGCCATAGATTGTCGTTACGGGGTAATTTTTATGCCGTATTAAAGTGTTTTCGCGTTGCTGTTTACATTACATTACAATTATGACATCAGGCAAGAGTCCATATATATTCGCGGCACTCGCGCATTGCACATACGCGCGGTACGCCTGGTGCCACAATTTCTGGCTCATTCGTCGATTTATGGATTAAATATTCATGGAAATGTTAATATACATTTATGACGCAATGTAAAAGCTTTCGATGGGCTCCAGTATATTTTTGTTCTCAACAATTATACCAATTCGTATACGTACACCGTTACCGGTCTCGCTCGTTTCGCCCGCGACGCTTATATCGTCCACCGAAATAAATGCGCCAGTGATGATTGTGACGTAGTGCAACGTAGTGCGTACACCGTGAACATGTGTGCAGTGTGAAGTTGCCATTGCGTCGATCGCCATCGGCCATTTGCGAAGCCCAACATCGGCACTCGATCGAAGGTCGATACCGCGCGTCGACAGTTTGGCGACGGGCGAAGTGGTCGGTCGGGCGAGTGTTCATCATCGCGAGAGAGCTGTGAGGCGTGACGGGCGGGGGGGGGGGGGGGGGGCGTCGCGTCGCGTAAAAGACGTTCAAGAAATATCACTGTCGCAATATCGAACGAGTTACGCGACATTACCCGGCAAATATCGAATAACTTACGCGACATTAAACGCGCGACGTACGTATGTAACACGGCGGTATGTGACACCACGGCATCGCCATCGGCACGGCGGAGTCGAGAGACGGAGCACGGAGCAGCGCGTCGCGTTCCACCCGCACCCGCGCGGCGCCCGCGGTAAGTAACGTAGTAACGCTCGCGAAAAGGCATATCGGAGTAAAGGCGCTATAAGCGATCTCGTTTCCGGCTTCTCGGGGAGCGCTCGCGGCACCGAGGTGTGTATATTTATCATCCGTTGTAAATTTCGCCCTTCGCAAAACGGAAACACGATTCTCGCGCACCGTCACGGTCATCGGCGCGTTGATACAAGAAAAAAGTGCAAAAAAACGAAAAGTAATGCATCGCGCGGTAGCCGTTTACTTGGTCGCGCGCGCGGGGCACACTTCGCGAGCGGTTCGGCGCACGTCGGGAATCTTCGGCCGGGCTCGGGCGAGCGACCGGCGCGCGCCCCATGCCCCACTCGGCCGCTCTCGCCTCCACTCGCCTCTCACGTCGCTCAGTGGCAGTCAGTGTTCGTCGCATCGTCGTGCAGTCCGTCGCGTCTTTATCCCTTCCACGAGTAGTTCCACGGTCGGCCGAGCGGAAAGTCACCCTCGGCGGCTACCGGTCGCGCGTACCCCGGCATATACATATACTCAACCGCTCCGAACTCCGAAGTTATCAACGGGCAATTCGTGCGGGGCGACGTGCGACGAGGCGCAGATCGCGGAGCGTGCTGCGATCGCTCCGTATTTGAATTCGAGAACACTTGTCATCGAAAATTTCGTGGAATCCCGCGGTGGCGGTGGCGGTGGTGGCGGTGGTGAAAGTAACCGGCGACGGGGAGTTCTTTCGAAAAACTCGGCGGGACTGACGAGTCGATCGTCGGCCCAGTCGGCCGCGAAAACATTGTCGGCCCGGATGATCTAGAAGGTGCCAATCGCGCGCTTCGCAACAAGTTGCAGGAGAGTGTGCTCCTTTTTCTTACCGAATTTCCTCGCCTCCCCGTCTATCTCTCTCTCTCTCTCTCTTTTCTTTTACGCGAGTGTGTGCGTGCTTTTCGTGTGTGTTCGTGATCGAGAGGATTAACACGGTGATGGTCCTGCGTGAAGCTGCGAGGCAACGTTCTCGACGATGGTAATCGGACCTTCGAGCGTGAAACGGACTGTCGTGACGGGCGATCGCATTCGGAGGGAATGTCGTGTGCTGTGATTATTATCTCCAAGGATCTTCTACACGGTAAGATTTCTCTTTTTGTTTTCGTTTTCGATTTTTCGCCGAGACTATATACAGTGCGTATACAGATCGCGGAGCAACGATCGATGGGAAACGTTCGCGAGAGACTGACGATTTGCGCGAACGTTATTGGATGGACGATATTCGGTCGAATGATCAATATGGCATTGGTATTAATGCGTCTCGCACAAATAAGTGAGGGCTTATTTGGCAAATGTTAATTACTGGCTGTAGGCATATTACGTGGGAATATCTACTGCGAATGACAATATTCGAGAATACGTAATTTCGGTATTTCAACGTAACAAAGTTCGCTGCTTTCTGCAGGCGTGTTGGCATTTTAATTCCGAAATTGTGTTTCTCGAAAGTAACTTGATGTGAACTGGCTTCTGTCAGTTTAGTATTTTATCGAATATTTCTGGAATTTTTAGCTACAAATTAAAATTAAATATCCGGAAAGTGATTCTTGTAAAATAAAAATTAAAATATATTTACCGTTCTTGTGATAAAATTTAAATTTGTGTGTTGAAATGTTGCTATGTGTTTTAAAATACATTATTACAATATCATCGCTAATTATGAATACGGCATATTAAAATATACATGCATGTTTGTATACATTTAAACGCGTGTATATTTTAATATTTGTGAAACGCTAGACGCGTTTTCTCGTACGCGCGCATCGTGTATTTTTCTTTCATTATTTTATGATTAAAATTCTCCATTTTCATTTATGATTCTACGCTCATTTGGTTACCGTACATATTTAAAAAAAAAAAAACATGGAGGTGACGCGCACGCACGTCCGTAATTTTTAATTGCGGTGCTCCAAATTAAAAATTGCGCACCATTTTTCGCGGAGCGCGCCACGTTCGGCTTTGCCACGTTCATTAACACTATTCCTCACTTTGCAACCTTTTCCCTTAATTTTCGCGACAGTTTCGTGATGAGCCAATTTAAAATTTTTTTAATTATAACGACAACAGAGTGAGTGCCATTGATCATAGTTGATTCGTGATCGGGATGGCGACTAATGAAACTATTCCAAAATATACATTTCGTCATTAATATCTGAATATACCGTATAACACAATAGCATATATTCGAGTAAATAAATACATGAGTATATTTATTCGCGATTAATCGACGACACGAAATCGTAGATATACAAATAAAATAACATTACTAGATATACACATAATGGAATTCATTCGGCGCGACGCATTATTATGTTGAAATAATAAAATAATGAGATATTATTTACAAACTTAAAGCGGGCCATATTGTTCCGAATATGTGAATACGGAATATTGGAAATATTGTGCTACCGTGAACGGAAATATCGAGTCATATTTCCTGCTTTGCCGTGTAACACGGCGCAGTTCTCTAAAATATTTATGAGTGGCAATAAAATTGTATTACAATATTCACATCATTATGCATTATGAATACGAAGTGAAACTAATATTGCGCGCTCCGAGCCCCGAGACTTTCCGTACGACATAGTTCCGAATTAATTTTAATCGTGTCACATTGTTTCTTGACACTTGGCGCCTCGCGTATCATAAATCATATGCGATTTCGAGAATAAATATGCAGCATCTCGTCCATCACGGCCGCGGCGTCGCGTGATGGCGCGCGAGCATCGGCTGGAGCGACTTCGCAGCGGTGTGTTCGCGCTTCGCTGCAAGAATTTTAATCTTTGCGAAATTTCCATGTTAAATCTGCGCGTTCGCAGGGATCCCTCTTCGTAGAAGGTTCCTTTCGGGAGCGACGGTAGTTCGCGTGCTATGTAACGATCAATCGGACACGATAATATGCGGAGGAACAGTTTCACAGACACATTACATGGGACTTAAATTGGGCGCTTGTCACTCGTTGACTGGCAATTTTCTCGAAAAGGACGCGCGTTGCCAGTCACGAAAACAATTTATGCCTTTGTGATCGGAAAGATGAAAGAATCTTCTATAAAAAGCCGACGCGTCACGTTAGAAATTATACCCCTGTTGGGGGATACGAAGATCCTGAATGAAACCGCTGATCCGTCCCTTTTTTATCGTATTATTTTTAAATTTAATTCGTTTCCCGATATATCAATCGGCACGCCTTGATGTTTGATGCGATTTGCCGGAATACGATACCATCGAATTGAAATCAAAAATGCACGTTTTTAACTATTTATATTTTTTTTCCGAGGATTTAAGAGGCAGATTCAATATAATTTTGCCTGGCTTGATAGGTTTGGTTTTAGTAGTTTTAGTTGAAAACTACTTGTAATATATTAAATGAGTAATAGTTACTTTTTATTATTAATTTATTTTTTTTGTGCTATAAGATATAAGTCTCAAGTATTTGTGTATTTATTGCTAAACTTTTACTACTATTAGTGTCAGTAAGATCGAGAATATTTTTTAACATTTTATTAAAAAAGCTATTTGGTTAAAATGGCAAATTATGATTTGGGTTGATGATCGATTCAATTAAACGGAATGAATTAAATTCGATTAAATTGAATATAAATTTATTCCGCACATCGGATTATAGATAAAGTAAAGCAAATGCTTTCGTTCTTATTTATAGAAGCCAGAACGTATAAATGAGACATTGAAGCATTTACTTTAAGTTTAATCTTCACTGATAAGAAGTTTTAAAGAACGTGAAAGATTATAAATGATAGAAAGCATGAATTGTATTTCTTTATGTATTGGTAGGAAAATTAATATCTATATTCCCGTAACAATTACATTTATAAATACTTCACGTACAAATTCACGCCGATTTTGTAATAAAAGTAGAATTATTTATAGAAAAAAATGTAGAATATACTTTTTCGTTTCATCTTTTAACTTTAAATTAAATATATTTTTGTTTACATGAAATATTTGCATTATTTTTGTTGATTTGATTCACTAATTTACATTAGTACATTTCACATCACACGTCACGAATCTCCTTGCTCAGTTCGCAATTTCATGTTTAATATTGCACTGAATTATTGAATTTGCATCAAATCTCAATGAAATTAGTTTAATTAGAATATCTAATGAGAAGAAGACAAATATAATTTGATCTAATACGAGAAGGGAATTGGGTAATGAGAACGTCACGATATTATCGCATACGCAGCGAAACGAAATTCTCGCCGGTCATTAAATTCATCTATTGTCAATCCACGTTTGTAAGCGTGTAGAGATCATAGCACAGAGAAGATGGTTAGGGCTCGACCTCCTCGATCCTCCGAGCGGATAACCACCGAATAATTCTACTGATAGGTGCGTCGATGCATTTACATGGAAATCTCTGATGGCTGTAGGCGATTACATTCCTGACATTATGCTGTTTCATCGAGAGATTTTGGTCGCGATCTATCCTATAAGGACCTCTGGTATTTTGCATCATATGTCTAATTCATATCGTGATTTCCACGAACCAATTACGCCATTAATTATGAATATCCTCTTGCTGAGAAAATTTAACTCACATGTTTCTTCCGGTAATGTTGTCGTATTAGACAAATATAACGAATATTTTGATGTAAAATTAAAAATTTAAATAAAATATAGTATATATACATATATTTGTATGCGCATATGATGTACACACACACACACAATATATATACGATGGTATGTTATAAATATAGAAAAAGTTGATGGAAATAAATTGAGAGAAATGTAACTGGAAACGTTTCATATCGTAATAATGGAGTATTGTTCTATTATTATGACACGAAATGTTTTCATTTGTGGTAGAGATATTACAAGTTCTATATTTTTGTTCGACTACTAAACCATTGTGTGAGTAGCATTTTTAAACTGGTTTTTCTATTCATATACAAATATCTTGAACTTTTTAGCGAGATACTGTTAGTGTTTAAATTTTGTTAGTTTCCAGTTTCGTTAGTTTCCTAGCATAAAGGTATCGAATAAGCTAAATTGCCTGTATACTACACACAATTATTAAAAAAATTTTTTTTCAATCATTTTCTCGATAGATTATCGAATATTATCTTCATGCTTTTGTCGATTTGTCGATTATGATTATTCGAACTTTAAAATGTTTCAAATTTAAATGTCTACAGTGTCTTCACATGTAAAAATATTAGTCAATTATAATTTTTAAAAATATTTATTGTTTTATATAGAGCTTATTATTTTGAAAGATATATACCTATAAAACTAATATAATACTTTCACTTTATTATGTTTCACAACTTTCAGTTAAGATAAAATTTTTATATAGATTTATATAGATTCTTATGTCCATCATCTTTATTTTATCTGACTGCGAGTGAGCTAGATTACATTTTTTAAAAATTAATGTATCGTTACATACATTTACTATATTGGAATTTCATATAATACTGAAGGTAAAATAGGATTCTATTTTGGTCCATCGTCTCTACTAGTGGAAATGTTCGGATATTGCGGAATTAGTGTGCACAAATTTTCAGTTAGCGGTTTAACTCCCGAATGGAACTGTCCGGGCACTTCTTTTATGTGGACTATGTACGATGTGGAATAATGAATCGTAATTTACCAGGTCCCTCGCGATATCTGCGCGTGGGACGTGATTGAACCGTTAATTAGTCTCGAATTAAACGGCCCGATACTGCTCGCTTGCAATTTTACAATTTTACATTGCAATTTCTCGGACGATGCACAGCACATCCTTCGATATACGCGCTTTTCTCGCTTGCTCGTTCGCTCGCTCGCTCGTTTGTTTACTCATCCATTCTGAAAATTGATGCTATTTTTTGCTTCGTTAGATACTTGAGCGGAGTGAGGCGATGGGAGAAATTAATTATTTATATTTCTCCAAGTCTCACCCGCGAAAAGTAATTAAAGGCGCAGTTTGTTTATCGAGCGATATCGAATTAAGCCATTCAATTTAAAGTATTTATAAATACCTCTTGCTAATTGTATACGTGGCATTTTAAATAGCATTGTGTGCTTATAATTATTATAAAATATTACTTCTGCTTTTGCACCGGACTTTTGTTTCAAGTAAATGACAGTCCGATAACATTGCATATTTGAAGAACATTTACAACTGGATCATTCATATATCTACTGTACCTATTTTTCAATCTGATTTTCCAATTTTTATTTAGTAGTTTACATTGCAAAGTGTATAACAATGCGTTAAGTATTTGCTCTTTGTTAGGAAACGAGTAATTTTTTTTTTTACATTACTTTCTTATTCTCGGTTTGTATTTCTTTCGTATTCATGAAATTGTTAACGTAACATGTTTTACAACTGTAAAAGTACAATTACGGTTTCGATAGATATATTTTAATTGACGCAAAGTGCGTCAATTTAAAAACAGTCTTACGTTTATGCGCTGTTTTACATTTTTTAAGTATTTGTAATTTCCCAAGTAACCGTACTGTAGATAATAGTAGACCATGCTGCGAAATGTGTCCCCTGATAATTTACTTCAATTGGTATCGAAAAACTTTCACTACTTTTTAAGATAGTCCTTTGTGAATACCATTGAGACTTGCAAGTTTTAATGCGTTAGGATTCCTTCTTCTAGCGATTTTCGTAATACTATCTTCGTAACCAGAAATAATATATGAGAGGAAGTCTTTATCCAAATTAACTTTTTTTCCTATAAAAATGTCTTTTGTTTCGAACAAGAAACATTATTTTCCTTTCTAAGAAAAACAAAGTAAAAAGTATATACGTATTACGCTGTAGATAAATTACTTTTTCTAAATACAGTACTTTTTTTAAAAAGAATGTCGATCGAAGAGCGCATTCTTATATCGAAATTAATGGAATCGACGACGCGATATATCACGATATGAACGCACGAGTCACGATATAACAACAGGGTGATAACAGCGGCAGCTACGGCAAGTATCCGGAAATAAACTTGTTGCGCGACCGATCGGCAAATAAAATAATAACTGGGGCACGTAACTCGATTAAACGACAATCGCGATATTTAAGCGCCGCGCCTCGGTGCGCTGTGTGTCACAATCGACGAGGCCTGTCGCGCGTGCATCAAAAACTCGCAAACAAGAAACACGTTCTTGTCATCACGGTGGATACAAGCGTGCGCTAGGACTGTGCATATTTTTTTTTCTTCCCGGATTTTTGTCGGTCGGATTATTCGCGGCGGAAGCAATTGCAATCGCCGGATGAAATATTTTCCCACCTCGCTCTCTCTCTCTCTCGCTCCCTCTTCCCCTCTCTTCTGTTCCTGTGGGAACGGATGCAAAAAAATATTTCGCGAAAACGGTGGAAGCAGAGTCAACATTTTCTCCGGATGCGCAGGTATTTTTTTGAAAAAAAGGGAAAGAGGGAAGGAAACAGTAGCGTGATTACGCTGAATGTACCACTGTCAGCTATCGAGAGAGTTTGAGCGGCAGGAGCAACTGCCATTGGAATTGCGTGCGTTTCGTTACAGGTGAGAAAGGAAAATCAGCAGAATAGAATTCAAGGGAGAGAGAGAGAGAGCCATAAGGGCGTTTACGCGAAATGGGTAACGCGAGCTCGCACGTTACATTTGCAAGGGTCGCAATTTTCCGAAATCGCGGTGTCAAGCGTTATTACGGTTTGCTCGCGAGCAAATTCTAGATTAGAAAGTAAATGTTGTTTGGCAGTTGATAAATTTGCGTGTCCAATTTAACAATAAGCGTTAATTGCTTACCAAACAATTAACACGATAATTGTCTTTCGCAAACAAAATTATTTCGGCCTCATACAGAAAGTCCAATATTTATATTTTGCAAAACCAAAAAGAACTTAATTTCTGCAAAGATTGCTTTATTTTCTATTTTGATACACGAATCTAAGAAAATTGATCTTTTCTCTAAATTAAAAAATGTTATTTATTTGTTTTACGCTAAACCAAAGCAATGCATCTCGGGATCAATCTAATTCCGGTTTGAGATACGCTTAAAGCCAGATTGCACAGTCTGGATTATCCAAAGTCTGGATTACCCCCAAGTTAACGATTTGTTGTCTCCCTTTAACCTGTATTTGTTCGCTCAACGTATTATAAATAGAGAAACAGAATATGATAAGAACAGATTACTTTACTGACGTTTCTGAACAAATCTCCAAGGGAAGATATACGTGATTTATTTTTCATATTACATTCGCCAACGTTGTATTATATAAACATAATATAAATTTATTTGCCATTCTAAAACTGTTGGATCCATAACAGTTTTCCATGCATAATGCTTTTTTTATCATTCCTACTTGAAATAAAAATTCAGTTTGTTAAGGGTTACTCCATATTTTCTGTCTCAATTTTCTCTACAAAAGGGTAGGCAGTAGAGTATAGCCTTGAAGTAAATTAAGAATAAAGAAAGAAGAATGTTGGCGCATGTAATCATGGTTCACGGTGATTTATTGAAGATTTCATATATTAATGTTTGTGTGTTTGAAGGTTTGACGAGGAAAAATCAGCTAGCGAATAAGAAGAATTTGTGGAGGGAAAGTTCGACGATGAGAATTTGAGTCGCGGAAAGTGCTTCCAAGAGTGCCTGGGTCCTGGTTCGCGATTCTCGTCGAGGGGGCAGAAGACGACGGGTGTTGTAAAAAGGAAGCGAAGAGCGGGGCAAGTGTGTCGCTGACACGAGTTGACGCGACGCGACGTGACGTGACGTGACGTGACGTGACGTCGGGGCGTCGAGATGCTTCGAGATGAGATGGCCACCTCCCTTGGATCTCTCGCGTCACTTCTCACGCTTCTACTCTACGCTTGCAGCAGCTGCCATGCCAGAATAACCAATCAGGAAATCGGTGAGTGCTAGTTTAAATAATCTATAGCTAATTGAGTATGGAACGAAGGATATTTAATGGTCGTTAAAGTTGGAAAAACATTTCTTGTCAAAAAACCGAGATATTCTACATTGGACTAAAAGAAAAAACATCAGAATTACAATTCAATACAGAATATAATTGAATAGAGATTTGTATACATTCAATATATATACAAATTGTATCATGCAACGTGCGTATCAGCAATGACGAAATTAAAAAATGTAATATAATTAAACATCTCGATTGACATTTATGATATGTCTATTTCCTGGAAAGTGTAGTGTGTTAATTGAACAACGTAGATTTATTTTATATTAATGTACATTAGATAAACGAAAATACGAATAATTAATTAACAACAACAATACAAACAAATACGCTTAACGTAAAAACAAATGCACTCAATTCAGTACTTTATGCAATTGTTAAATAAAACTGAACTAGTTCCACTAAAGCAGAGTCATCGGCTGTCTACAACTGATAGACTTTATTTCGAATTTTGTCTCGATTGTTCCAACATTTCCGAGACCAATAAATATCCATCAATATGTTCTTTGATCGATTATTCTTGAGGAAAGCAGAAAACACGACTTTCCATTAATATCGATATGGTGCGTTAACTCGAACATATCTGCGACAGAATACAATTTTCGGTAAAAGCTTGGGGTACAGTTTGGAAAACAGACGAATATCGTGCATTCACGAAACACACTTTTTTCCAATATATGTATATATCGGTAATATGAATACGATCGGTTGTTACATCATATCGACGCAGCCAGACACGAGATTGAATTTGTGGTATGGTTATACGCATTTCCGAAGAGTTAAATAACAGAGAATACTGTTTCTATGTTTCATACATTTTTATTGATTAACACTTTTCGTGAGATCTATGGAGTATTACAGCTTTTACCAAACGTCACAGCAATCATAATAATTCTAATATAATATTAGTATGTTTGTAAAAATCTGTATAGATACACACGGTGAATCGATATATATAACTGCGTATACGCAAGATAAAATTCCGTAAAATGTAAATCGGTATCACTGTACTATTGCGTAACTCGTGTATATATATGTATCGAGATAGAATTTATACAAGTTTACTATATCGTACTTTAAAGGAGTAAATATCGATCGCTGAATACGTGATCGTTTTAACACAATCGAGTGTCTCGCTGTGTGTCGTGTGTATTGAGCAAATCTATCAGTCTTGTTAATAGATAGTACTGATGGAGAATTATTACTCCACTACTGGTTGTTACGCGCAGTTCGAAAACAGTATTATAGAACTTAATCTATCTATCGTTTCCGACACTTGTATTACTACTCTCTTGATAGTATTAGACTAATTCGCAATTTAAATATCTGCGAATATATGACGAGATACATTTTAAATATTTTATAAATCATACATTATCCACATTTTTTTATTTTTGACGATAAATAGTTAAGATACATAAATCTATATATTTAATTAAGTATACCGAATAACTGCAGTCATACAAATGAAGTAATTTATGTTAAGTTTTATAATTCTACATATATATAAAATTTGAAAAAAAATTTTAAATACATTTGACGTTATTTAGCCGTGCGTCCAACTATGAATAAAATTGCTTGATTACATTCTGATTTCAACCAGGTTATTTTCTTGCTGTCGTTGTTGCAAGGATTATGAGAATCTTTAATAAAGATTTCCGATCAGACAGTGAAATATTTAAATGTAATTAATATAAACTTAAAAATTTTTCCTTACTACAAATAAATAAGATTATATATATAATAACGCGTCCAGCAACGAAACCTTATATCATTTTTTTCGTTAATGGGTTTCACTCTATACGACCGTCAAAATTGAAACAAAATGAAACTTAGAAATGTTAAGGGAATTCCCCGAGAGGAGATTATTAAAAAGTATCTACATACATATTTTATAATAATTTCTACTTTCTTTACATGGATGAGTAAGAAGGCACGTGCCTGGGCTCTTTGCGAGTCGGACATTATTTCAATTTTCACGGGGCAACGTCGCTTTGTGTATACGTGGACAAAGCGACGTATACTTTTGGTAACGTGGCAATTGAATCACCCGGTGACAAAAGCCACCGGGTATTCCGGCCGCGTAATTTCGTCCCTCGGGCGTGAAAATGAGGGGTTTTTAACCCATTTTACACACCGCGGCTTTAACGAGATCGCCATGTCGCCGTTATTTCGTGGACCATCAAGGCCGGGCGCCACGCTGCATGCGAAAAGAAAATGCGCGACGGGGACTGCTCTGTCCCTCTCCTCCAGTGAAATTACATCGTCACTCCTCGAGACATAGCCCCGTATTTCTTGCTAATAAATCACTGTCGAAAATGGGATTATTATAGATTGATAGATTAGACTTATCATAGATAGATTGTATCTTTAATGTAATCGAGAAAAAAGTAATGATTTATAATTAATTTTTTCTTGATTGCTGTCTCAACTAAAAGTTGACACAAACGATGCGAATATATGCATTCTACAGAATCAGATATCTTATAGGATTTGTAATAGTAATAATAATTTCTAAGTTTTATTTGTAAAATTTTATTACAATGATACTCCAAATTTAAACATACTCTTAACTTGAAATATATATATCACTGTAAAGAGACTTTACGATATTAATTTCGCAATATTGCTAGTTACAATTACTGCATATTCAATATTTTATGTATTAATTTCTCACAGTAATAATTTTACGAATTGATGCTGATTCTACAGTTGAATTGCTCCAAATCACCGCAAGTTAATTTCTCAGACGACCTCGCATTTAAAGCTTAACGTGATTGCAACGCCAGCAAACGACTTGGACGCAGTCAGATTCGTTTTGCGTTTAAATATTTACCATCCGATCGGGAATCTCTATCAGAGACTCGTAGCAGTAGTCCTCGCAACAACAACAAAAACAGCAACAACAAGAAAATAACCTACGCGAAATCAATGTGTAGTCAAGTAATTTTACTCGTACTTGGTTGTGCTATTAAACGACGGCAAGTATGTTTTATTTAATGTTGAGCGCGAAACGGAAGTAATTACAGCTACTCGAAGCGTAAAGTAAGAGAACGTCGTGAGGGTTTAGTCCGACAGTTAATTAAACGAGTAAGCCACTACTTGGCTCCAAACATTTCGATAATTGATTAAAATTAAAATGTGACTGGCAAATGTGACTTGACTCTATTGCGAAAAGTTAATATTGAGCTTGCCCTTTTTTGGAGGATTAATGAAATGAAAAACGCGGAAAGTCTGTTTTTTTTGGCAGATGATAAGAAATATGATTTTTATACAGATTTTTATAAGGCTGAAATTAGACATTTTATTAATTTTATAATATATTTATTATTAATATATTGAAAGGCATCAAAATTAATAAATTCTAACCTTTATGTCGCTTTATATAATTCCGATTTTTACAAGAACTCGCAAGAAAGATCACAACGTATCATGCTGTAGCTCTCGTCGCAACTCGGAAATGATTTATTCATACGTTTCTAAAACTGCCCGAAGTCTTTTCGCATTTCATCAAAGTTTCCTCTTTTGTTACGTACGCGTATTACCTCATGTTTGGAGCATTCTGGTTCGTAAATTACTTGACTGCCGAATACATTGGCAGCAAAGCAGTAGCTTTCATTTTTTATGGTAATCTTTTAATTATGGGACAAAAGTTTATACGCGTTTAGGTAAAGGTTGATAAAAAGGGTAGGTACTTAGTCGGTGAAATTTTAAACCCATCGCTATTAAATATAGCCCTCGAAAACTGTGTGATATCAATCTAAATATTCTAAATTGAATGATTGAAATGCTGTGAAATATTGATTGCACTTAATTGTGATCTCGCGTGATAGTGCGTCTATGATTTGTGAATATTTTTAAACTTTCCTCAAAACATTTTTATGTTTTTTAAGTTTAAAATCATTTTAATGCACATAAAATTCATCAACTACTATAATGTTAATAATCTTTTATATATAAAAAATTTTAACAATTTTGATATCACTCTCCCGAGCTTTAAAATATTAAAACATTTTAACTTTACTTACAATATTTATTTATTTTAAAAAATTAAATATTCCAGAGATACCTATCCAATCAAAGTTTAAAAATTTGAAATTTATATTTTAATAAATTATAGGATATTCTCGGACATTTTTTTCTATTATTTTAACTGCATGATATTAACAATTCACAACTTGAAAAAAGATATGACAAAAGAAACTTGAAAAATTGATTCTTGTGTAATCTCGATGAGAACATTGTTATTTGCCAATCTGACTTTTTGTCACGATCTCACCGCCTGAAGGTTGATTTTGTCGACATTCAGTGCTTGCACAGTTTTTCCGCATTTTCCTCGTGAAACGCGCGTCAAGATGCATTAGACGTCGCTACGTCGGATTCTTCGGGAAAGTTTTCGAGCGAGGCGTTTCCGTGGGGAATGCGAGGACGCGTCAACCAAATGAGATACGTCGTCCCCGCGTTTTTCTTTTTAAATTGAGGCAGCTGAGTTAATTTGTATACCGGCATCACGGCACTTTTAATACATATTTCATGAACCGGCAGCCCAGTGGTAGTATGAACAGATTATTTCGAATAGGATTTAAGTAAAGGATTCCCAATGAGAGATAAATGTGTAAGTAGAAGTGGAACATAAAAAAACTTTAACATTTTTAGAAATTTAAAATACTGAGGTTTTAAAAGCGAATTTTAAAGTAAATGAACATTTTCGAAGATCTAGAATTCCAAATTCACAATACTATCTATAAATAATGTCGGCAGATCCAAAAGGTTTAGAAATCAAAAAACTATACTACGTAACAATCGTAACATAAAAACAGCAAATTGAATTGAATTCGAATATTTATAAAGCTTTATTTTCTTAGTATCTATAAAATAAACTTTACAAGATTTTGCTTAAATATATATGTATATATATATATTTATTTATA